CTGACAGTTGGCATAGCTTTTTGCCTTGAGGCCTTTACTGATTGGAAAACTGTGTCTAGAGGGTGAGAAGCTGAGCAAAAGCTGTGGCTTGAGGGACTGCGGATAAAGCAGAGTTTGGGGCTGTCTCATGGGTATGAAGGAACAAAAATTGCAGTTCAGGGACACCAACTAGGAGGGGTTTCTGTAAATACTTCCAGGCTTTTCATTGGGACCTCTGAAGAGTTATACTCTAAAAGTAAGAATTAACTTAGAATAGATCAATCTTCTAAAACCAAAACCCACCTTTCCATCAGCTGTATTTCAGACTAAATTAAGATGATCTGTTCTTACCCTAATTGCTTGCTAGAAGAAAAGTAATGTCTGGAGGAAGATAACATTATCCTGTATAAAACAGTAACTGTATAATTCCTTCATGCATTCCTTCCAAGACGATTTTTCTCCTTCCACAGTACAACCTATCAAAGTCCTTTTAGTGAGAATTTATTGGTAATAAGCTCTCTCAATTTTTATTCATCTTAAAATGTTTTTAGCTGATTAAAAAATGGGCAAAAGACACGAACAGACACCTCACCAAGGAAGATATGTAGATGGCAAATGCTCGTAAGCATATGAAAAGATGCTCCAGGGCCGGCCGAGGGGCTCAGTTGGTTAAGAGCGTGGGTTCTGAGCAACAGTGTTGCTGGTTCGATTCCCACATGGGCCAGTGAGCTGCGCCCGAGCTGAGCTGCTGCCGAACTGCCAACAGGTGGCAGGATGGCTCAGCTGGTGAGAGCAAGTGCTCCTAACAACAAGGTTGCCCAATTGACTCCAGCATGGGATGGTGGCTATGCCCACCCGCAAGTAAGATTGAACACAGCACCTCCAGCTGAGTGGCTGTGAGCTGCCGATGGGCAGCTGGATGGCAACTAGACTTGGAGCTGAGCTAGCTGCGCCCTCCACAACTAAGATTGAAGGACAACCAACTTGGCTGTTCCCCTTCCCCAATTTCCCAACACTGTTCCCCTTCCCTAATAAAATCTTAAAAAAAAAAAGATGCTCCACATCATACCCATATGCCATTATGGAATTGCAAGTTAAAACAATGAGTACCGCTATGCACCTATTGGAATGGCCAAAATCCAAACCATTGACAACACCAAACGCTGACAAGGATATGCAGCAGCAGGAACTCTCATCCATTGCTGTTGGGAACGCAAAATCAGACAGCCACTTTGGAAGACAGTTTGGCAGTTTCTCATAAGAACCTAAATTACCCTTACCATATGCTCTAACAATCATATTCCTTGGTATTTACGCAAATAAGCTGATAACTTACACCCACACAAAAACCTGCACATAGATGTTTATAGCACCTTTATTCATAATTGCCCAAACTTGGAAGCAACCAAGATATCCTTCAGTAGGTGAATAGATAAATTCTATCTATTTAGAATAGATAGAATGGAATATTATTCAACGTAAATGGAATATTATTCAATGTAAATGGAATATTATTCAATGTAAAAAGAAATGCACTATCAAGCCATGAAAAAACATGGAGGAACCTTAAATGCATATTACTAAGTGAAAGAAGCCAATTTGAAAAGGCTACATACTGTATGATTCCAATGATATGATGTTTAGAAAAGGCAAAACTATGGAGATAGTAAAAATGTTAGTGGTTTCCAAGGGTTAGTAGGGAGGGAGAGATGAAAAGGTGGAGCACAGAGGGTTTCTAGGGCAGTGAAACTAGTCTATGCATATATGACACTGTAATGGCAGATACATGTCACTATACCTTTTCTAAAACCCATAGAATGAACAATACCAAGAGTGAACCCTAATGTAAACCGTGGGACATGGGTGATAATGATGTGTTGACGTTGGTTCACGGATTGTAACAAATGTACGACTCTGGTGCAGGATATTGTTAGTGGGGGAGGCTGTGCATGTGTGGGGTCAGAGGGTGTCTGGGGACTCTGTACTTTCATCCCAGTTAATGTTTTCCACATAGAACACTTCTGCATAGAACATGTGTGTCTTTCAATACAATGCCTTTCACCAATATTTATATAGGAAAAAAATATATTTATATCCTCCAAACTCGACACATTTTTAAATAAAGTGATGGGAAGGAGCTCAACAGAGAAAGTTTTTAGGTTCTCTCCAAATATAATTGATAGCATATCCAAGTTCACAGATGACACTTGGAAAGCCTCTGAATATCAGCTTAGGAGACACGTACCCTGTTACACAGACAAAGCAGCCGTATTAATGGTTTAGTGATCAGTGGGTACTGTTATACATATTTTACCACGGTTTATTAAATAAATAAATACAAAAAAATGAATTCAAAATATTTTATAACCTAGCGTGTTAGCTTGTTGCTTACATACAGTTATTTTACTGTGTTTTATGTTTTGGAAAATTGGTTGAGGATTTTCCATTGAGGTGTAATGGGCTACAAATTTAAAATAACGGGAATAAGGCTCCTGGTTAGTATTTTCTTGCAAACAATGTTAAGTGAGCGATGCCTGTTATTTCTGGCAGAACTTAGAGGAGGCAGAGGTATGATCTGTGAAGGAGCCTGAACCTGAGATGGCAGTGAGCGTAGCAGTGATATGAGGAAATGAGTGTATTTTATCAGTAGCCCCTGACTTACATGCATGGGGGGAGCCCGAAGTCAGAAGCTGGTGGTGGCTGAGTCTAGGTGAGAGGTGAGAGCCTCAACTGAGGCAGTTCGAATGGAGATGGGGGATCTCAGAAAAATTTCAGAGGCTGAATAAGACGCAAGAGCACAGAGGGTAAAAAGCAGGGAGTCACCCAGAAAGGTGATGGGGAGGTAGTCATGGTTACTTTAGCCAAGGTGGAACACCTCAAAAGAAGAGGAGAAAGAAGGACAAGGAGGAGCAACAGTGGCAAGTTTCAGGGGATGAGCATGGTGGACAAAGAGTGACTTTGGCTTTGGATGCATTATGTTGAGGTGTTCCCTGGGAAGGTTGCTCCAAAAATACCTAATAGCCCACACTGGCTCCTCCCACTGGACAATAATAGTGTTATCACTAAGATAGAGTGAAAATAGATGCTCTGTTATTGGGATAAGCCTTTAGGAGGAAAAGCAAGATTCACAAAAGTAGTCCTCTAATACTGAGCCTGCCAAATCCCTCTCTCCCAATGCCCTGGGTTCTGGAGCCCCATAGTAGTCAGGCTTGGGTGAGGGAGCGGTTGATGTGACTGGTAGAAACCCTGTTCCCTCTGGCCAGGGGCATCACGATGGCTTTGCTTCTATAGGGCAGGTGCAATCAGCTGGAGGATCATAGTTTCTGCCTTAAGATCCTTGGTACATCTAAGACTTCCATTTCTGTTAATGGCATACAACCCTGATTGCTTTTAGCTTCCCCGAGACCTGGCGGATTGGTAAGCGTTTATTAGTACAACTTTAGATAGGATATTCCAGTCTTAAATCCACATTAACTATATTGGCCCCTTATAAAGAAGTGGGGAAATGACCTTTTTTGAGAGAGAATATAAGTGTACAAGGGCAAGGATTTTTGTCTGTTGTATTCGCCAATAGGTCTTAGTCCCTAGATCAGTTCTCGACCATATGGGAGGGAGCCCAATAAATATTTGCTGAATTGACTAAAATTGACACTCAGTCTCTTCACAAATCGAGTTTCCTGCTTCCTGTGAGTTTCTAGAACAGTGAGCATGGTGCTGTGCTGACCCATATTCCTCCTCATCAGCTCAGCTCCAGCTCTTGTGGCTTGCTGGATGCACAGGGGGCCCGGGCCATGGCAGAGTGCTGACCACCATACCTGGATTGGCGCAGGAAGGAAAACATGTCTCCTTACACAGAAGGATTTGCACTCTCCCATCTGGGAATCTGTGTCAATGGCTGTGGCCCCTCTCCCAAGCCCAGAAACAGTAGGAGTGGTTGCGTCACACAAGCAATCAAACACACCACATGCAATCCATGCAGATAATGCCCAGGGTAATGGCACTATCTGTAAGGACTTCCAGCACACACCCACAACTGTATCCAGCATGCAGAGTAGGGCCTGTGGTCAGTAAACAAATGAAGGAATCAATGACATAGCTGAATATTGTTACTGGGTCTCTCTCTCCTCAAGGGCTGTGTTTAAGATATATTGTGAAGAACTTATTTTCTGGATCCTTGAGAAATTTTCTCTTGAACAGCCAGTGGGATTGATCTCCCAAATTCTTCTCATAGATTGAGATGAGGTATAGTTACAGATTCCCATACACCTCCCTTCCCAGGGGGAGCCTTGAAACTCATTTTAATTCTAGGGCCAGTCCTGGAAGGCCCATTCATTCACTCATTCATTCACCACCTACTATTTAACCTGCACCATTCTATGTTCCTGATGTATCATGAAGAGGAAACCAGTCTCAGCCCCAGCCCGTGTCTCTGCTGCCTACATCCCCACCAAGGCCTGCTGGTTTAGTTCCACCCATCATATGCCTAGCAACTCTGTGACTTCTGCCACCAGGAAGACGGCAGTGCTCAGCCGGCACACATACACACCCTCCCTCCAAACTCAGCCTGTTCTCACACAGACTGTGCTTACTTCAAGAGTTCGACACAGGCCAGCAACAAATTGAACCAGAGTTTTCTATTTTTGTTTTATTGGAACATAGCCCAACATGAAATAAATATTAATTTTCCAAGTTCTTAACCATTTCATAAATAATATTAAGTTAACAGACATCTTACAGAATGTTATGTTAAATAAGATAAAAGTTTACATCTACTTTGCCTGGAGAAAACTGGAGGAACATTTTTCAGTGATTCTGATATCTGAAATATATTGAAAATATTTTATTTTTCTGCATTTTGCTTCTATGAGGTAGTAAAGTAACAGTATGCTTGAAATAATTGCTATTTTGCCTTGTGAGTTTAATTACACTGAACATGAAGGCCCTACCCTGGTTGGCCCTCATTCTCATTGCAACAAAACATCCTTCTCCTCTTCCAAAATCGTTGGCTACAAGAAGCCACTTCAGTCTAAACTTTCCGTTGTCCACTCAGTGTTTATTACACGAAGAAATGTTTGCAGGTAGTCTAGAAATTTTTTTACTCTCCGTCGTTCTCCTCCACACTGTTTCTGTGAAAAAGAACAGACAATAGGTATTGCAGGGAAATGTCAATTCCTATAAAAAAACAGCCAGACAAATATACTGAAATTTCCACTCCATGTTTTTAACTTACTTTTTGGCGGTCTATGTGTTCTTTTATTAAAGACAAGTTTTGGAATAGTTTTTCCACGGCATCCCCTTGTGCAGTTTGATTCTTCAATATGTCTATCCCCTGAAAAACTTCTTCAATGCATAGTTGGTGCTAAATGAGGAAGATTTAAATAATATAAGTAATCAAATCCAAGTATAAAAATTTGGTCCAAAAAGGTTAGACTTTGTTTTGTGGTGTTTACATAAGTTCCCTTCTCCAAAGAGTTTTTCACTTGTTCCTTTTCTAGGTGGCAAATCAACGCATATTGAGATATGATTTCCAAAAGTAGATGAGGTTTATATAATTCCTGAGGAGTTTTACAAATTATATAAATTAAGTACTTAAACAGAAACAAAATGTTTAGGATGTGTAATATAACTACATTACTGATCGACCTCACATCAGTTTCCTTTTATAGTTCTAGCTGGAATTTAATTCTATTTAGACCAATGAAATCATATATTTTACATTTTAATATGACTATGACATACTCCAAATGTATACATTTCTATTCTATGTCACGATCATTTAACTATGTGGAAATGACTATTAATATAGGGCATTTGTTATATATTTTAAGGTCCACTGACCATGATTCTAAAAATATAATTCTAAGTTGCAAATACTTTCAAAAATTCATTAAAGTGAGGAAAGCAGTAAATAGTCAGAGCTGCATGGAGACTAGGAGGCACCTTTCATCCACTGTGGAATTTTCAGGAAAGAATGCCTGACAAGGTTCTTTGAGATGGGAAACTGACAACATTCCCAAACAGCCTGATCCACTTGTTTAATGGATTCTACTCGTTGTAAAGTCATTCCTGATATATGTAAGTACATACATTCACATACACACACACACACACACACACACACACACACAACAATACAGAACAGTAAATAGTTCCAATGATAACTAATGCTTTATACCTTAAAATATGCAATTTACTTATTCATGCAATCATTTTATCAAATCATAATTTAACTTACATTTTTATGTCCAGGAGTAGGAATCATCAGGCTCTGAAAAGGAAAGGACATACATTCATTTTTAAAGCACTCTAGTATTCGTAACTTTTGATAAAATGGTTGTGACATGGTTATCAATTATCTGTCACTAACGCTCATAATTTCATTACTAGTAAAAGATCTTTAACAATTAAGCACCATGAATGATTATCTATGCCTGTAGGACTCAAAAAAGAAAATTACCCCATCATCTATCAGCCGAGTCCGATGAGTGGAGAGCAGTTGCAAAGTCTCTGCCACCAATGTATTCATGGGACTTTCTACAGCACTGGCACAAATGTAGGCAGCTCCAAGAGCTAGAACACTCAAATGCAGAAGCATTCTCATGGCTCTGATATGTTCAGCCTTTGCCTTGAGCAGAGAAAATGCATTGTACAAGATTATGTACTCAACCAATTTATTCTGTCTCTTTGAGGAAATGAATAATTTCCAACAATCAGATAGAGAACGTCTAATAATGGCATGTTGTGAAACCAAATGTTTCCAATGCATAGTATCTTAAACAATTTTACTTTTATCTTTTAATAATAAAAATCCCTATTTTCCCCCCTTTAAAAGCATTTTCTACTAAAAAAGAAAATCTTTGGGTTGATGCATCACTGCCCCACATTTGCATTTCTTAAAATCAGAAGATTAAACTTTCTCGTGAAAGATGTACATAGAAAACAGACGTATAATGTAAACCACTAAATAGAATTTTGTGCTAAAATACGTAAACATAGGGAGCATTTGGTTTTTCAGGTCTACTAAATTCCATCATGATGGTAGCTAGATTTATCTGCCTTAAAAGGAATTGAAAATAGTGGTGGAAAGATGGTGATTAGAGCAGAAACTATCAAAACTTAGAAGGGTCAAGTTGTGTTCACTGTGGTCTTGATTCAGATTCTTTCTGTTGCCAGTGACCAAGAATCAAACCCAAACTGGTTGAACCCACCAGGGAATTCATTAGATAACCAAAAGTTCCCACATGGAGGCTCCTTTTTATCTTGCTTGCCTCAGTGACTCTTTCTCGACTCCATCGTCAGGCACCTCTCCCACTGTGGTCCCAAGATGATGTCAAAACCCCTGGATCTGTATATATCCTGTTCATGAGTGTCAGGAGAAAGCAAATTGTGCTTTTCTGATTGCTCAATCAAAAGTCCTAGAATTCAGCCTCCTTGTGCCAAGCAGTCACATGTTCACCCTTGAATGGTGACCAGGGGTATGGGATATACTGATTGGCTCTCCTTAGATCTGGAGATGGGCTTCATCACACCCAAATGACATACCTTAGCAATCTGAGGTCCTAGGAGGTAGGTAGTAAGAGAGACATGGTTGCTGGGAAGGCGACTAATAAGCATCTGTCACAGCCACATAACATATGGACATGGCCTCTCCTTCATGTCTGACAGGGTTGGGGTGTCCTTTTGCACCCTGGGTGGGCCATGTATGAATATGAATATATGTGATCAGGGAATTCAACCTTTGTGTTCCTTGGTCTCAGACCTGTAATCCCAGACAGGAGCAAATGAGGCCCCTTTTTAAATAAACGCACTTTATTCTTCCTGGGCCAGAGCACACATAATGGAGCTATCAGCCATTTGCTTTGAGTGGAGGGTTTTAGTGAGCACCCCAAAGTGGTTCTGTGTTGGTGGAAGCCTGACTTTAGGACTATCTTGAGCACCTAAGGCAGATGGTACCAAACGCAAATTACTACCTTGAACCCTTTCCCAAAGCTAGAGAAGTTCTGTAGAAGAATCAGAGGCAGCTGGGAGACAGGCATGCCTTCCATGTGCATGTAATTACTGCTCTGCACAGGTAGGATAAACGTAGTTCAGAACTTCGGTGGCGGCTTTCCTGTACCATGTCTGGTTTTGTTTTCCAGAATATTTGGACTCTTGGTTAGACCTGTCTTAATTTGAACGCTTGAAAGCCCTTTTCCTTGAGACTGCAGGAGAGATACTGGTTCACTTCAGGAGTCAGGTAGGAATCCCAGTAGACTTGTTTCAAGGTGTCCTTACAATGGTGCTCTCAGAACCAAAGCTGAGTTCTGGCAAGAGCCTTCCCTCCCCAGAGGATTTCCTGTGAGAGTGTTTGTGGCTCTGGCTCTCCTCTGGCTCCTTGGAGCTACACTGAGGAAGTGCGAACTTAGATGAAGGTTTCAGAGGAACTGCCAAGTGACTTGTTATTTAGTACCTTAAATATGCAAAGTTCTGAGTTTTTAACTTCTATTATAGGGCTGCATGGGCAATCTACCTGGTAGATAAATTGAGATGCCACTAGACCAGCCTTCACTAAGCAGGAGAAAACTCACCAACCACTCACTGTTTTCAGGAAAGTCATATTGTCTGGCTATGAAAATGAGTGAAATGAGCAAGGTGTAACACGACAAATGTGGTGGGGCTACAGTAACCTGCAGCAAGTATGATCTGTCTAAAGGTGCTGCTCAGCTCCACTTGATTATTGTCATATGACACCCTGGGCTTATGTTGCCAGATTGTCCAATTTTTCAGAGAAGCCAGGAATCTTGATTATTATGTACCACCTCCTGATTTTTAAATATTGGCAATTCATATTTTAAAAAACTGTACAGGGTGCCATTTCATATCCTCTGATTTACAGTATAACTGTGGGTCTCTATTGGAGGACTAGTTATTTACAAACCTCGTATTCAAAATTACATTCATGTTTACACTTTTTTTAATTGTGGCAAAACACATATACAATTTATCATCTTAACCATTTTAAGTGTACTGTTCAGTGGTGTTAAGTACATTTGCCATGTTGTGCAATCCATCTCCAGAATTCTTTTCATCTTGCAAAGCTGAAACTGTATACCCATTAAACAATTCTCCATTGTCCTCTTCCCTTGCCTTTGGTAACCATGCTTTTACTTACTGCCTCTGTGAATTGGACTACTCTAGGTAACTTATATGCAGTATTTGTCTTTTTGTAACTGGCTTATTTCACTTAGAATAATATTTTTAAGGTGCATCCATGTTGTAGCATGTGACAGGATGTCCTTCATTTTATAAGGTGGAGTAATATTTGATTGTATAAATATACACATTTTGTTTATTTATTCATCCATCAGTGGACACTGGGTTGCTTCCATCTTTTTTTTTTAAAGATTTTATTGGGGAATTGGGGGAGGGGAACAGCACTGGGGAGTCAGGGGAAGGGGAACAGACAAATTGCTGTCCTTTTATTCTTCAGTCTAGTTGTGGAGGACGTTGCTTCACTGGCCCATGTTGGTATTATCATTGTGCTCTTCCCGGGTGAGGCAGATCGGTTGCCAGTCTCTGGATGGCCGCTCATGGTGGCTCTTGGCCGCTCTCACCGGCTGCCGGCCACTCACGCTGGCTGCCGGCCACACACGGTAGCTTACGGCAGCCCACTGCAGCAGGGGTTGCAGCCTACACCATCGCCCGTGACTCACGGCAGCCCAGCTCCAGGTCGAGCTGTTGTTCACCATCTTAGCTGTAGAGGGCAGTGTCACTGGCCCCCATGTGGGATCCGAACTGGGACCCTGCTGCTCAGAGCCCCAAGTCAGCTGGCATCCCAAGTCAGCTCTTAACCAACGCGCCACTCGGCCGGCCCGCCTCCATCTTTTGATTATTATGAATAATGCTTCCATGAACTTGGGTGTTCAAAATTATTTCTTATAATGTTGTCATAGTCACTGAGTTTTCCTCTATGAGTCTGATCCCTCCAACTTGATTGCAAACTCTCTCAGAGCAGGGACCATAAAATAATGTGTTTGAAAGAAACTTTTTACTATAAAATTCCGAACAAAAGCTAATAGTTTTAATCTCCTGTGCAGAAGAATCCCAAGTAACTTATGTAGACATTCCAAGGAAGTAGAATATAATTCCCTTTAAGTGGGGGTTACAGTGACTTAATTTTAAAGAGTACAGCATGGAAAAGGGATTCTAAGAGGAGTAACTTTGTAGTGGAGAACTCTGTCAAACCTCCACCTGGCGACCAAGTTCAACATCAACAGTAATAAGTCATGTTAATAGCATGTACCCTTAATATGATGTAATAAAAATGGCATTTTATCTCTGTGGTCTTCCTACCAAAAACCCATAAGCTCTATTGAACCATAAGAAAAACATCACACATGCCCAACTGAAGGACAAAATACCTCACCAATATTCCTTAAAACTGTCAATTCAAGGTCATCAAAAGCAAGCAAAGTCTTAGAAAGTGTCATAATCCAAGGAGCCTAAGGAGACATGCTGACTAAATGTAATGTGGTGTCCCGGATGATATCCAGGAACACAAAAATGACAGTAGGTAAAACTAAGCCCCCCCCCCAAAAAAAACCCCAAAAAAACCTGTGGAGTCTAGTAATGTGCCAATCTGGGTTCCTTAGTTGTGACAAATGTGCCCTACTAATGTGAACAACAGAGGAAATTGGGTGCTAGGTAACTCTCTAGAATATTCTTGCAAATTTTCTACAAATCTAAAATTATTTAAAATAAAAAGTTTACTAAAAATAACGTTGCAAGTTGAAAAAAGTTAATGATTGTTTTTACTATTATTATTAAAGAGACTTTGTATCCCATAAATGTCATACACTTGGGACCTTTCTACTTCACCACTAGACTCTGTGCTCCTTGAAAATAAGGATTTTATTTAACTGATCTCTTCATCTTCGAGGACCAGCCGATGATAGGCATAAATTCATGTTTGCTGAGTAAATAATTGAATGAATAGGCAGGCATTTGGTTTTATTAGTTGAACAAATTAATATGAATACTGTAGAAACTCAAGTAGTCTGAAGGAATAGAAGCAACTTTAATAGGACTCCTAAAAAAAAAAAAAGATAGAGCAAAGCTTTAAGGAGGCTAAGCTCTACAGAGCAAGCCAATATGAACTTCCATGGCATTTTTAGAAACTCATTATTTTAGCAGAACAGAAAGAAATTAGCAACCAGTATTCAGAACTTTAAAGAATGATTAGTAATTACATAACTTAGAAAAAGGGGTTTGAATAGTGGTGAAAAGTTGTGTTAGTAACATCCATTCTTTTGCCCCCAAACCTGTATTTCTATTAGCGGCTTCCAAATTGGCAAACTGATTTTAAAGACAGTTAACTGTGGTTTTTACTAACCGTGCAATCATTTTAGGTCAAATGACTTTTCTATGAACTGATTCTAATCAATCAACTGGGCATGATGCCACAAACTTTTCACAGTGACTAAAGGTAAATGATAGCATCTCTTTCTTCCCTTGCCCCTATTCTAACCTCCATCCTTTTAATCCCCGAGCATCTTTAAAATAATTTTTTATTGAGTAAATAACATTATAGAAAAATAAATACAGAACTTCTTCCTCTTGGCTTTGCAACTATCAGTTTTTTGATGACTTTGTCCAATCTTTACTAACCCATAGCTTTGCAGAATTGTAATAAATGAATATATACAATTTGTGTTTATCTTTTTTGCTTCTTTTTTATGTATCTGCTTGTTATCTTAAAGGTTACCTGCTATTAGATGAAATTGATGTAACAAGATTTACTTCACCACTTGGTTTGTTTCTAGTATTCCACAAGTGTAAAAATGCTATTAGGAAGCTCTTTGTATAATTAAAAAATATATATTTCCTTGGGAGCATTTGAGATTTTGTTTCTGGGCATATGTCATCACTTTAGCTGAACAAACTCATAAAAATTACCTACAGGTTTGGGGCCTGCTGGGTGGTGCAGTTGGTTAGAGCGCAAGCTCTGATCAACAGGGTCACCGGTTCAATTCCCACAGGGGCCAGTGAGCTGCACATGAGCTGAGCTGCCACTCAGCTGCCAATGGACAGCCGGATGGCTCAGTGTGCAACAAGGTTACTGGTTCGACTCCCACATGGGATGGTGGGCGGTGCCCCCTCCACCCCCGCAACTAAGATTGAACATGCCACCATGAGCTGAGCGGCTGCTCAGCTGGTGAGAGCGTGTGCTCTTAACAAGATTGCTGGTTCAACTCCTGCATGGGATGGTGGGCTGCAGCCCCCCGCAACTAAATTGAAAGCGGTGACTGGACTTGGAGCTGGGCTTGTGCCCTCCACAACTAAGATTGAAGGACAACTTGACTTGGAGCTGATGGGTCCTGGAAAAACACAATGTTCCGCTTCCCCAATTCCCCAATATTAAAAAAAAAAATTATCTACAGTTTTGGATGTTTCTTATGTTAAAACTTCAGAGAACTCTTCTCAAAAAAAAATATAGACTCTAGCATGTGATCATTTTTATAGCTTTTGTTACATTTTACCAGATCACCCCTCTGAAAATATTCAATGCAAAAATCTCATATTTTTACTATGGGATAGGTTTCTTTCCTTGAAGATTCTTTAGCACTAAGGTTCAATAGTTTTATTAATATAATATAATAAATGAAATGAACCCCGAAGGAAGGTATGATGCAAGAAACAGTGGTAATCAAAGAGATTGATAAATGTATTGGTAAACCTATATAAATGCTGTTTTTAAAAATGACTTATTTAGGGGATTTCAAGACAATGAGGAACAACAAAAATACTAAGCACTGATAATGTAGGAGATGGAAGGAGTGATCAGAATTGGAGCATTTTAAGGTTCTTGTACTGTTTGGAAGGATGCTAAAGGTATTAACTTTAGACTTCATAATAGGCATGTAAAAAATTTAAGAGTAGCCACTAAAATAATAGAAATAGAATGTCTAACTCCCAAAACCAGTAGAATAAAACATGAGAATAAAGGAAGCTCAATCAATCAAGAAACTAGAAAAGGAGAAAAAGAAGCAAAGAAAAAGCACAGAAAAAGACATGAAAAATGCATTCAAATTTGTCAGGAATCACAGTAATTGAAAACAGATTAAACTCACCGATTAAAAGGAAAACACTACAAAATTGTATCAAAAATCATCTCAGCTCTTTTCAAGAGATACACTTCATGGGAAATGACATAAAGGATTGAAAATCAAGGGGTTGAAAATCAAAGACTGGACAAATACTAATCAAAAGAAAGCTGATGTACTAATACCAACATCAGAAAAAGAATTTGAGAAAGTATTAATATTATGAGGACAAAGATATCCATTAACAGGTATAAAATGGTGTCACATGGTAGTTTTATTTTCCATTTTGTTAAGTCAGATATAAGCGAAACCAAACATTTTCCAGTAGTAGTTTACTGAGAACTGGGTACTTGACTGATTTACCTTTTTAGTTCTTTTTATTTTTATGGATTAATCAATTTTATTGCAAATCTTTTCCACCCTCCTCCTAGAGTTATCTTAGTTGTACAGTTTCCTATTGTTACAAAGTTGAAAACTTTTGTAATGGAATCTGGTTACCTTGTCATGTCTATTTTTTTCCTTCAATTTGTAATTTCTGTTCTGACGTATTTTAAATTACAGAAAGCCTGACACGATCATTAACACTTCCATATGCACCTCAAAAATTGATCATTTCTTACACAGCAAAATATCATCACATCTAATATAATGTAATTAACAATAATTCTATTTTTAACATTTAATTTCCTGTCCACATTCAGAAAAAGTTTCCCCATATATCCCCCCAATTTCCTTCACATCTGTATGTCCAAACCAGGATCCAATCTGGGACCATGTGTTGCATCTGGGTGACATGTAACTCAAATCTCTTTTAATTTGCAAGTCTTGTGTTTTTTTTAAGTCTTTTATAATCTACAACAGTCCTTGTTTTAATGACAAGGAGAGCCTGGGCTAGTGTTTTATAACAGATCCCACCTTCCAGATTTTTTTCCATCCTGGTGGTGTTATTAATGTAATCCTTAATTCCTGTGAACTATAAGTTCTATTTAAAGGTGTGATTAGATTTCAAGTTTAACTTTTTAAAAGAAAACAAAATGGCATAAGAGGTGATGTTGGCTGGATACTTCATGATACAATCACGGAAAGAGATGTCTGGTTTTCCCAGTCATTGCTAATTTCTTGTGTTACTTTGAGTCCTAAAATTCTGCTTTGAAAGTGAGGGTAATTAATTACCTTTCTGAGCTTTTCTTTTATTGTTTTCAGAAATATCTAGATTCATTCACCTTGAATTTAGAGTGGTAAGTACAATAAGGTATAGATTTGCTTTTTTTCTTCTTATTGACACCCAAGTATGTACCCAAGTATTTATTTAAATGGTGGTAGGGGGTGGGGTGGGGTAGGAAATGGTCTTGGTTACACACCTGTTTACATTTTCCAAAACTCATGGAACTATACATTGGAAAGGGTGAATATTACTGTATGTAAATTATGTTTCAGTAAACCTGACTTTAGAAAACGGGCTTTCACTATGTTAAGGCCATACTACTGGGCAAGATCATAAATCAGAGGTCCTAGTTTCCTCACTGTTTACATGCCTGGAGTCCTAGTATGAGAATCTCCTTTCAGTCAGTCATAGAGAATAGATATGAAAATAATGAACTTACCAGTAAGGTCAATTTTGAATTGTCTTCTATGGAAACCTTGTAAAAGCCCCAATGAGAAAAATTGTATGTGACAGATACAGCCAAACAGCGATGCTAAACATTCATTCCTTTAGCTCCTCCTAGTAATTTTCCCGTACTGAGTAAAAAACAAACAAAAGAAAATCCCCCAATTTTTTAAATAAAAAAATGGGCTTTAATATTTTGTGATTGTTTTATTACATTTGGTTGGTCACATAAGGTATTATTGTATAATTTCAATCTGTTTTGTTCCACTGGTAACTTAAAATATTTACTGTAATAACTGACATTTTCATATTTCCTTCCTTGGTAAATTAAGACAAAATTCACAGGCCTTCCCCAGTTGCATCCTCTGACATGTGAATTTTTTTAGTTTAGGTATTAAGCTCTATAAATGACTGTCTTGAGAGTGTGTGATTAGAGAGTTTTCCCTACATTTTTCTATCTCAGTAATCCAAAATCTTTGTTTTGATTTTAATGTCTTCCACTATATATCCCTCCATTAAGTTGGTTTCCAAAAAGCATATTCTCATTTTTGAGAAAGGTAATTTCTTTTCCCCTTATTTATTTGTATTTTTTACATACAAAAAGTTGTACATAATGTATACAATATGATGCTTTGGAGGCAAATATGAGTATACGCCAGTGTAACCATCACCACAATCAATACCATTAGCATATCTATCACCTTCAAATGTTTCCTCCCACCTCTATTTTTTTGTAAGAACACTTAAGATCTACACTTTTAGCAAATTCTTAAATATACAATATTGTTAGATATAAATATACAACAGTAGACACTATGGCATACAGTAGATCTCTTATTACTCATCTTGCATAACCAAAACTATCTCTTTGAAAGGTGTCTATTCCTAGCTTGTGTCAGTACTTATAAAAGTGGATTTCTTTCACATCATATTTGCATAATATTTGTTTTATAACAGCATTTAGCTTTTTGTCTCAAACATCTCTCTACACTCTTAAAAATTACTGAGAACCTCAAAGAGTTTTCTAAAAATTTTGTTTTTAATTATAATTGGCATACAATGTTAGTTACATGTATACAACATAGTAGTTGACACATACCTTATGATGTGATCATCACACTAAGTCTAGTAACCATCTGTCACTGTGCAACGTTATTACAGTATTATTGACTATATTCCCTGTGCTATACACTACATTTCCAAAAAGCTTTTATGTGTTACAACTGTCAACATTTACTCAATTAGAAATTAAAATTGTTTTTTTTTTTTAAGCAGAAGAATACACAAGCACACATTCCAAGAGTCACCATTGCGATGGCATCACCACACGTCATGTGATCACTGGAAAAATACATTAGGGAGCAAATTAGTGAAAAAGGTAAATAACGTCTGAGTATTATTAGAAAAAGTTTTGACATTAGCCGATTCCGCGCTTCCCCGCCTCTATTCCAGATTCCCAGGATCACACTTTAAGAACGGCTGTCCATAACAAGACGTTGTCGTCCCTTAGAGTTAGTGCCTCTCCTTGCTGCCCAGGTCCCCAGCAAGGTGTCGGAATCCACAGCCAAAACTAAGACGTCCTAGCACCCAGCCCCCTGGGGCGGAACCGCTCCTGGAAGCCACAGTTGCGCGCGCACCGCAGGTCTTCCACTTCCCGGCATACCCCGGGGCTGCGGCGTAAATGCACGCAGGGCGACGCGACTCACGTGACCCGCGGGGCAGCCGAGGCGGGAATCTGCGAGTGGGCACGGTCACCGTGTTCCTAGGTTTGTGTTTTGAGTCTTCTGTGGGCATCCTCTGGCCGGCCCCCACCCGTTCTCGCCCGCCAGCCGGGAAGGAAGCCAGTGTGAGAAGAGGGGTTCCGGCTAGAGCCTTCGCTCCCCTGGAGCCTCACGGCCCGTGCTCGCCCTGCTGCGGCCTCACTGCTAAACCTTGCTGGGCTCTAGGCCCCTGGTGTTGAGATAAGAAACATTTACAACCATGTCCCGGATTGAAAAGATGAGCATTCTTGGCGTGCGGAGTTTTGGAATAGAGGATAAAGATAAGCAAATTATCACTTTCTTCAGTCCTCTTACAATTTTGGTTGGACCCAATGGGGCGGGGAAGACGGTAAGTCCTAAGTAGCCGCCTTCAGTTTTTCGTGTCACCACATCTTACGAATCTGGAGAATAAAGTATCTGGAGAGTTCGGAACGCTGATTAGGACGAGAGGCGTCCATACGGCTCTGTTTTTGGGGCCCCAAGGAGTGCCTGTTCCTCTGGGTGCCTCCCCCGCCCGGGGCGTGGCCTGGGGTGGTCTTTCGGACTCCGCGACTTAACGAGTTAACCACACCCAGCATCCTAAGGGTGTCCAGGCCTGTCTGGTGGACAAGGGTTTTCTTGAGAATCCCACGAGACCCGAAGCTACTGCTTTGCCCTTTTAAGAGTTCATAGTCCTACAATAAGCTTGTTTGTTTGTATTGATGTTTTTTAACACTCGCCCTGCCCCCAAAGCATAGCACTCAATTCCTGGTAGTTGTCCCAATATAGGGATTTCTATAGAAGTTATAAAATATAAATATATGAGTTTCCAAGAATGCCAGCTGTCTAAGCATAATAAATGGGAAACATGGCTTAGTTTTAAAATGAAACTGATGCGGTGGGGTTTAGTTAAATTGGAGAACTGCAGGTGTACCTTATTTCATGGCGCAGGGCTTTTTGCGCTTCACAGATGTTATGTTTTTTACTGAAGGCAAGCCCCTCCACCCAGCAAAAAGATTAGGACTCGCTTTATTGTGGTGGTCTGGAATCAAACCAGCAATATCTCTGAGTGTTGCCTGTATTTTGTTAGGATGGGTTTACCTGTTCAAAAAATTTGAGCACAATTTATTTACTGTGACTTTAAAGCACTGGAAATATTTAGAAATTTGGATTGGGCCCTGAAATGGCAAGCAATTGCAGAAAAAATATAGCTAAGAGGCTGTCTGGTCTGGAAGGGTGGCTAGAGAAAAAGCAAGGTAACAGTGTAACAAGGAGAAGAGTAAATGCAGTTTTGTGCAAAGTGTACAGAAAGAGGAGGTTTAATGTTGAGAGTTGAAAGCCTGACTTGTCTACTTTTGTTTATGTAAAAATATTATTGAATGCCAATTATGTACCTAGCATTGTATTAAGTACATTACTGCTGTAAAGGAGACTTAACGTTTATGAGCACTGGCTGCCTGAATTCAAATTTTTTGCTTTGTCATTACCTGTGTGATTGGGGGCAAACGTGACCTAAAATGTTCTGTGCCCCAGTTTTCTCATTTATAAAATGAAGATAAAAATAGTTTCTGCAGCCTAGGATTAATGTATGTAAAATGTGGTGGTTAGTACAATAACTGGCACATAATACACTCTGTGTAACTTAGTCATTGGTTTTGGGTGGGTTTGTTTGTTTTTTTAGTTTTATTTAGTAAGATTTTATTTAGTAAGATTTATTTATTTATTTTATTTTATTTTATTTGTTTATTTTAGCTGAGCCATCCTGACACCTGTTGGCAGCTCAGCTTGGGCCGGGACTTGAACCGCTGTTGCTCAGAGCTCGCACTCTTGAGTGAGCTCTTAACCAACTGAGCCACTACGCCGGCCCCCAGATTTTTATTTTTTAAATGGATATTAAGATTCATTATATATTTACATCTTAAAATACCACCAAATTTAGTGAAAACAAGGCATTTGATGGCATACCAGCAGCAGAAGTGGCTTATTAACTAGTAATGATTGTTACAAAGTCATATCTATATAAAAGTAAACACTAAAGAGAACAGACTTGATTAAAGTTAGTAAGAAACAACTATAATTATAAATACCAGATTTTAAAGAGGAATCTGTAAAGGTTTTACTACATAAGGATTTCAAAGTAGACAAAATACACAGTAATTTAAAACTTGGAGGATACCAAGTTAACAGATTTCCTCTTAGCTGAGGTCTCCAACCTCAGTAACATTTCTGAATGAAGCATAAAGTTACTGTTATATATTTTCAAAGGATTGGTCCAGTTGTGCTTTCTCTATTTTTAATTCCTGCTCTTCATTTACAGTATTGGCAGCAGCATCTTTCTGTGGATTGTCTTGAATGTCTGTTGAATCCGTCTGACTCCTCTTTTTGATCCTCACCCATATTAACACCTTCAATTGTCCATGCCCTGGGTATGTTCATTAACAAGTGATTTCCTGGGGACTATTAGTAGCTTTGCCTGCCTTCTTTCCAAGGCCAGTTGTTTCTCTCAATTCTTTGTTGTTGCTCTTCGGTTAGGCTTCCACTTGACTCAGAAGCAAACTTCTCACTTTCAGGTGAATTTGTCAGAAAGGGGTCTAATTCAGTAGCAGTTATATCATGGTCATTATTTTCCCCTAATTTATCATTATTGCTAATATAATCTACATGTAAACTAGGCAGATCAAGTCAAATTCGTTTTAAACAGATCTGAACTTTTTATTTCCCAGGTATTCCACTCTGTCAATAAAGCCTCAAATTGCAGTTCAGGGAATAGTCTATGTGCCCAGTGCCCCTATGTCTGATTAATGTCTTCAAGTCTTTAGCCTCATGACCTTTACCTTTGAATTTTGCATTATCAAACACATGCCTCAATGCTGGAAGCCTTCGCTCTGAAATTAATCTCTGAGCATCCAGCTTGGGTATATTCCTTTTAACTGTTCTCTTTGGAGGTACAGGAACAAATGCTTCTCTTCCTGACTCTTCATCAGGTTCAGCTCCTTCACCATCTCTCTCTGGAGAAGCTGGAGGTGGGAAAGGATTTGGAAAAGTTTCATCTATCTTCTCATCATCTGGTAGATCACTCAAGCCATTCTCCTGTGGTTCCAGCATGTTTTCCTCCCTTTCTGGACACTCCTGGATCTTCTTTGAAGATTCATCTTCCTCTAACCTGGTCGGCAAGACTCCATCCTAGGCCCTCTTTATTCATTTATGCACATGGCTGATTCCCTCAGCCGGCAGCCTCAGCCCTCAAGAACTTCACTCTCCTGCTAGCACACTCTCACCTCACTCAGACTGCAGCAGCCACAGCACCGTGCTTGGCGTGGGCCAGCAAACCGGGTGGGGTGTTTTGATTTTTTTTTTACTTTTTTAGAATGTCAGCTTTATTGAGGAATAATTGACATATAAAATTGTAAGATATTTAAAGTATACATCTGGTGATTTGATATACTATATATTGTGAAAGGATTCCCCCTATCTAGTTAACACATCCATTACCTCACATATTTATCTTTTTTTTTTAGTCAGAACATTTAAGTTCTACTCTCAGCAAATTTCAATTTTACAATAGTGTTGTCAACTATGATAACCATATTTTACGTTAGCCATTGTTATTATTAACCTAAATTAGTTTAAAGGGTTTTAATTGGAAATAGAAAAAAAATTTCCAAATACTGAATTTTTATTTTATTTTAGTATACTTTCTTAGTTATATGGCTTTTCTATCAATTCATAACAATTATTCTTTAACACTTAATCATATCTATATTACAGGTTTTATGTCAATTTTATCTGCTTGTATCCTTTATAGTCTCAATGGTAAAGAATATTTTTATAATGAATTAACATTTTACGATAAACTTATGTGATTGATTCTCATAATTAAATAATATAATTTTCTTTTTCTTTAGACCATCATTGAATGTCTAAAATATATTTGTACTGGAGATTTCCCTCCTGGAACCAAAGGGAATACATTTGTTCATGATCCCAAGGTAATGGTGCTAGTAAAATTTTGAACTTTTAAAATAAAATTTTTATAATTATAAAAGTGATATCAGCTTATTGTAGAAAACCTGGCACTGGAGAGGTATAAAGAGATATGAAAATGAAAACCATTGTTAACATTTTTATGGATTTTCTTCTTTCTTACGTATTATTTTACATTGCTGAAGTCATACTCTAATTTTGTATTCTGAGGGTTTTTTCCCCACTTAACATTATCATAAAGTCTTATGTCATTAAAAAACTATATTAAAATTTTAATCTGGGTTTTTGGAACATGGGTGCTTCTTTTAATCTTTATACTTTTTGTATGTGTGAAATATTCCCTCCTTAAAATATATAACCTTTTATGAACATTTTAAATAACTGAATAATTTTCTTACATTTAATTGCTTTTTTAGCTATTCATGAAAATGTACTGTGATGAAACTATTTGTGTATGAATCTGAATTATGGTGTTTACACTATTAGTGTGTGTAAAGGACAGAATTTTCTATGCATATTTTGACTATAGATTTTTTTTGTTTCATATACTATAGTGGAGTCATGTGCCTCTCTCAATACCTTCCCCCACAAGAGCTCGTTGTATATTTATTCCAGGCTTTTTTCTGTGTTTATGAAAACATATCTGTGTGCATATATAAATATACTCACATATGTATTTTAACACATTTAAAAGTTTTATTATACTGTACAAATCAAATATTTAGTGATGTACTGCATATATGTTTATATGTATATTCTGGGGGTGCCAAAAAAATAAACACACATGACTTGTATTCATCTTTTGTTATTAGTATATATTGAGTATTACAATTTTAATATAGGTTTTTCCTTTCTTAAAATGCGTATATATATATTTTTGGCACCCTCTGTATATACACACACTTTTATTTCATTGTTTTACTAAATAGTATTCCATTGAGTTTATATTCTATAGTTTATTTAACTGACCTCCTGTTGATGGTCATTTGTTTCTACTTTTCTATGACTACAGATAACTGTAATAATTAAAGTACAGTATTTACTAGTTTTCCTCTTAGAAGTAGAAATACCACTTAGTACCACTTAGTACATTTACCAAGCCCTCTCTACAGTGACTGTTCACACCTTCTCTCTCTTTAAACCTATAATCTACTCTTCTCCATTGATGATCTTGCCTTGTACTTTTTTGAGAAAATAGAAGGAATCAGAGGAAAAGTCCCTCATTTTCCAATCATAAAATCTACCAAACTACTTTGCATATGTACCCCATAGTATCTGTTTTCTTTATTAGGGGTAAATTGTTTATTGTTTTATCTAAAGATCAACCAACTCCTCTTGGAGGCTGGATCCAATTCCTTTTGTCATATCAAGCATTTTGCTTTTCAGCTCCTTCTTGCTCCTTCATTAGTAGTTTTTTCTGCTTTATAGGGTCATTCACATCAACATGTAAACATGCTCTAGAAGCTCCAGTCTACAAACACACAAAAAACTGTTCCTTTACTCCAAACCACCCTCTGGCCACTACCTCTTCTCTGTCCCAGTTGATAGCAAAATTCACAGGAGTTGTATGTACTCATTTTCTTCATTGCTTCCCATTTTCTCCTCAGCCTACTCTGTTCAGATTTTCTTTTTTTTTTTTCTCCTCACAAAAACTGCTCTTGTCACCAGTAATCTCCATGTTGCCAGATAAATTGGTCATTTTTCTTTCTTTTTTTTTTTTTAAAGATTTTATTGGGGAATTGGGGAAGGAGAACAGTGTCAGGGAATTGGGAAAGGGAAACAACCAAGCTGTTGTCCTTCAGTCTTAGTTGTGGAGGGCGCAGCTAGCTCAGCTCCAAGTCCAGTCACTATCCGGCCACCTGTTGGCAGCTCACGGCCATTCAGCTCAAGGTGCCATGTTCAGTCTTAGTGGTGGGCGGGCGTAGCTCACCATCCCATGTGGGTGTCCAGCTGGCAACCTTGTTGTTAGGAGCACGTACTCTCACCAGCTGAGCCATCCTGCCACCTGTTGGCAGCTCAGCGGCAGCTCAGCTCGGGCTCAGCTCACTGGCCCATGTGGGAATCAAACTGGCAACCCTATTGCTCAGAGCTTGCGCTCTTAACCAACTGAGCCACTTGGCCAGGC